GGCTCAGGGCTGGCACTGTGCCACGTGTTTACATGCTTCTCGCTGACCCCCAGGCTGCCCCACGGAAGAGGCATGTTTTATTCTTGCTGCCAACGTGGCACAGCACAGGCTGCAGCCTGCAGATTTGCCAGCCAGACTGACTGGGTTTGAAATCTGCCTTTTTTTCCTTACCATCTGTGTGACGGTGAGCAGGTTACTTAAACTTCCTGTGCCTTAGTTTCCCCACAGCAAGAATAGGGATCACAGTAGCTCTGTCATAGGGCTATGGAAGGAGTCAATGGATAATAGTTTTCTCTCCGTGGTAGCTGTTGTTTGCTCTAGATTAATGTTGGCTATGATTAGCCTCCTTTTACAGACGAGGAAAGCGAGGCTCAGAATGAGTGAGGTACTCTCTCAGGACCCCGCAGCCATAAGTGGTAGAGCCAGGAGCGGAGCCCAGCTGCCTTCCTGTTCGTTCTGAGCTGCGGTCAGCGCCCTGTGACTTCCCCTCCCGGGCTCATGAAGTTGACTGGGAATTTTACAAGCGGAGAGGATTCAGTGGAATAATGTCTATGAACTGCCTACTCCCACAGAGGTGGGAGGCCTCGGGCACCTGGAGACCACACAGATGCCAGTTGCTCCCTTCTTTGCCCACCACACCACACGTGATAACGCAGGCTCTGCTTTTGTGGCCAGTCCAAAGAAGGCACCTGCATCCTCAGGTGGCAGCCTCTGGGTCTGGGGACATACGCTGGGCGGAAGTGGAGCCGTGGACAGGACAGAGAAGTCCCCAGTGACAGGGGACTTGGAAGCAGAGTTATTTGTCGGATTCATGCGGCCGATTGTCAGGTCTTCGCTGTGTGCAGGGAGGAGGGATGGGAGATGGAATGCGCTCCCAGCGTGATGGCCAAGTCCCGAACCGCTGCTGGAGCTGACACCAGGCCCCGCCGAGGCCGGAAGCTGGAGCACAGCCTGCCCCTGTCCCAGGAGACGTAGGAGCACTGCAGGCAGCAGCTCACAGGACAGGGTTGATTGTGGAGGCTCCCGAGCTGCGGACACAGTCGAACTTTAAGGCAGAAAAATATACTCACAGTCCAATTATCCTTTGTGTGCATGCACACACAGACCAGTGTGGGCTCCTGGCTATCACTGAGCTAAGAGCTCTTTTTTGAAAATTGGGGAAGGCTGATGACCAGCGTAAAAGGCTTGCCCAGAGTCCCACAGCAGTTCAGTAGCAGAACTGGGGCTCGGATCAGTGAAAAGGCCTTGAATGGCGAAGTTATGAGCATTTGCTGCGTGCCCAGGGTTGTGCAGCCCCGCCCCCTCGGAGGCTAAATACTGAGGAGTTCATTCCCAATGGACACCCACCTTCTGTTCTGGTTTCTGACAGCCCATCTTCGACCACACCCTCTTTCCTGCTTTAATCTGCTCACCCTTTCCAGCTAATCTCTAGTTCTCAGCCTTTCTGATTGACATTTCTCCCCGCCCCCCCTCCACCCCACCCCCACCCCCACCTAAGAAGCTCAGTCCGGAGCTCCCCAACCTGGGGTCAAATCTCCGCCCTCTTTCCTACCAGCTGTGTGACCTTAGACGAATGACTTCACACCTTCCTTCCGAAGTTCCCTTATATAAAGTGGACATGATCATTGCTCAGCCCCCATAGAGTGGTTAGATGATAACGTGAGTTAGTGTGTAGAAAGGAGTAAGCACTAGTGCCTGGCACCAGTCAGTGCTGTCTTATCGTTACTGACACCATCACCTCCATCTGTTAGTGATGGTGGCCCCTTTGCCCCGGGAGGATGGGGGTGGAGAGCAGGGGGACCTTCAGCAGAGGCAAATACTTAAAGGGCCTTGGAAAACTTCAGAGGAGCTGGCTCTTGAGGGTGGCGTCTGAAGCCTGGATGAAGGCTTAGTTGGTGGGAATGAAAGAAGAGCAGGTAAAGAGCATGAGCAGCAGCGTGGGGCAGGAAAGAGGAACGGGGCAGTTTGGGGAATGGCTGGGGAAGTCAGAGTGGGTGAGGCTGGAAAGGTCACAGGTGGGGACACAGGGGGAATATGCCAATCTGGAAAATCTGTAGCTAATTGAATAGGCAGCAGGGAGCTAGTGAATCTAGAACGGTGCTGATTCTAGGCACCCGTGACCTGGCTGTCTCAACAAAGTTTTTAAGAAAATATATATATATTTGTATTGATTTTAGAGAAGAAGGGAGAAGGAGATAGAGATAGAAACATCAATGATGAGAGAGAATCATTGATTGGCTGCCTCCTGCAAGCCCCCAACTGGGGACTGAGCCCGCAAACCCAGGCATGTGCCTTTGGCTGGAATCAGACCTGGGACCCTTCAGTCCACAGGCTGACACTCTATCCATTGCGCCAAACCAACCAGGGATCAGCAAACGTTTTTATTGGTTCTCATGGATGAGCTGATTTGCTTGTGATTTTCCAGATGGAAGGTATTAGCCAACTAATGATAATTTTGATGTTCCCCACCCCACAATGTTTATGTCTCTATCTTGCCTTCTTGTACTGGCTAAAACTTTCAGAACATTTTTCAGTAATGACAGGTTTCCTTGACATGTTCTTGACTTTAATAAGAAGGCTTCAAGTATTTCACCAATTAGGTATGATGTTGACTCTAAGATCAATATCAGATTAAGGCAGTATACTCCAATTCTTATTTACTAAGAGGTATTGTGAGGAATTAGTATTGAGTTTCAGCCAATGCCTTCTTCATATCTTTGATATAATCATATGTTTCTCCTCCTTTGATACATTAATATGCTTTCCCAACCAATGCTTTAGTATTGATCATCCTTGCATACCCCAAATAAGCCTTATTTTGGTCATGGTATACTATTCTTTTTCTAATATTACTTGACTGGTGAGACTGATTTTTTTTGCATGAATATTAATAAATTAACAGTTTAGTAACAGAAATATGTGTCCCTTGAAGATATGTAATACTTTAAACAATAAAATAAAACTTAAAAAGATCTTGCTAAAAAACAAAACAAAACAAAACACAACAACAACTTGTTCAAGAAGCTAAATGAATGAGGCATCTTATTTTTAAATATAATTTTTTAAAACTTTCAATGTTTCTTCTAAGATTATTACGCTATTCGTGTTTTCTACCTCTTCTTGAGTTAATTTTGATCATTCATGTCTTTCTAGAAAATCTACTTCAGTTGAGACTTCCACATTTATTAGTGCAGAGCAGCCATGCATTTTTAAGTGGTTTTTAAGCATCATCTCTTCCACATCTCTGGTTGTATCTCCTCCTCATTCCTCAGTTCATCTATCTTATTGGTCTTTTCAAATAACAATTCTTGGTTGTATGTATTGTTATGTCTGCTTTTCTGTTTCCTAATTTGTTACTTTCTGCTTTTTCCTGATCCATTCCTTCCTCCTCCTTTCTTTAGGTTCATTTTACTGCTTTTTTTTAGCCGGCTTCTTGAGTTGAGTGAGGCTTTGGTGAGGCACTGATTTTTCAATCCCTTGCTTTTGGAGTCAAGGTTTTAAAGTATGTGTAACAGTGGCAGAAATTATTGGGGTTCAGTCCCCGTTGAAGAAAGAACCCCATCCCAGAAGCTGGAGAGCTGGATCCCAGTACCAGCCCAGCTTCAAGTCAGCTGAGTATCTTTAGGCACAACCTTCCTCTGTCAGGACCCTCTCATTCCTTTCAGGCAGCCAGGCCAGATCCCCTGCACCAGGCCGCCTCTTCTCAGGACAATACCCCCCGTACCCCAGGAGGCAGAGGTGGCTTCCTCTGGCATGCTCCTGGCTCTCCTCCCAGCACACACAGCCACAAAAGCTGCACAGTTGAATTTCCTTCTCATGATGGAGCCGATGAGCAGGGGGGACAGTGTGGCTCAGCCTGGGTGTCCCAGCTGAGACACATGGAGCCTCTGAACCCAGAATCAGAGGCGCGGTCAGGCGTATGTGCAAGGCAGCAGAGGGAAGTGGCTAACCATGTGGCCTTTGGCCTATCCATGTCCAGCATCCTGTAAAATGGGGCAGCGTCAGTACCTTCCCTCATAGAGCTGCTGAGGGTTGAGTGAATAATTTAAAATACTAAGAACAGACCTGATGTCTTGTTACTTCTTTTATTTATTTAATTTTTTAAAAAAATATATACTTTATTGATTTTTTACAGAGAGAAAGGGAGAGAGAGAGTTAGTAACATGGGTGACAGAGAAACATCCATCAGCTGCCTCCTGCATGCCTTCTACAGGGATGTGCCCTCAACCAAGGTACATGCCCTTGACCAGAATCGAACCTGGGACCCTTCAGTCCGCAGGCCGTTGCTCTATCCACTGAGCCAAACCGGCCAGGGCATCTTGTTACTTCTATGTTAGCGTTTTTGGGTTTGTCGTTGTCATTAGCAGCATGGAGGCAGGTTGTGTGGGTGGTGAAGGAGGCGTCACCCTGCTCTCCGGAACCTCGCAGCCTGCAGAGGCGGACACGCTTTGCCGGTGCCGCCGCCCGGCCCCAGCGCCCAGCACCGTATCTGGTATCAGGAGGCGCTCCCCGTGCCTTCACTACATGAGTGGCCGGCTCAGGCCAAAGGCAGAAGGACTCCGTGAGGACCAGAGCTGTGGGGGTTGGAGGCGGAGGGAGGCGTCTGAGCGGGTCTCTGAAGGCGGTGACGCTGGGCCGGAGCAGCCGGAGCAGAGGGCACAACAGGGCAAAGGGGTGGCGGCGCCGAAGCCCAGGTTCTACCGGGGGCAGAGAGCAAGGGGAGCCGCGGAGCTCCAGCTTCCCGGGGACACGCAGAGCCATCCTGTTCCTGCTGCATGGAGCCAGGGTGGCTGGAGGTTTGCGTGTGTGCGTGCGTGCGTGCGTGCGTGTGTGTGTGTGTGTGTGTGTGTGTGTGTGTGTCCATGCGGGTGAAGTGAGGAGTTGGGGGCATGTCGGAGTCCGCGCTGAGACGTGACAAATGTGCAGATGTCCGGGAGCCGTGGACGCGAGCAGCCGCTGCGGAGACGCTCACCCTGTGATTTGTTGCTTTGATTCCTCAGGCCGAGACTTGGCGAGCACGACCCTCCCCGGGTACCCTCCACACGTCCCCCCCGCCGGACAGGGCAGCTACTCAGCGCCGACGCTGACAGGGATGGTGCCTGGTGAGTTTGCATCGTTGGCGTCTCCACAGCAGGCAGCGGATGGGACTTCAGGGGTGGGGGGCATCTCGAGGAACAGCCCCGGTGACCTCTGTGCTTCTGAGAAGCGGACCTGAATAAATCAGGCGGAGGTCTGCACCCTCGGCTTCCTCTGCAGCTGGGCCTGCCGAGGGGCTGGGCCCAGCCAGGGGCAGCGCCCGGGAGGACGTCAGAGAGAGGGGGGCTGTTGGCGGTCACTCAGACAGCCCTCACTGGCTGCCTGGGAAGTCTGAACACAGAGGGGGGCAGGACCTGGTCGCAGGTCGCCCAGCCTGGGGTGTGAGGGCCCTCCCCCACCCTCTCCTCTCATCCCCCTTCCCCACCCGATCCATGTGACACGGACACAGGAGAACCCTGAGGAGCTACCCTGGCCTCACTCTTTGGGATTGGGGACTGGGTGCTTGGGACAGACAGGAGGCTGCCCCGTGGGTTTGTCACTTGATTCTAAACCGAACACCCTGAGGCCCTTGAAACCTGCTTCCCTCGGACCGGCAACAAGTTCGTTTCTTTCAAGACAGCGGGAGGGAGGCTACCCCGTGCCCTTCCGTGCACTGCACAGCACAGCACCCGTGTCTGCGTGCTAAGGGCATGAGCGCAGCAGGGGTACCCCAAGTGTCCATTTCTTAAGAGATGTGTAAAGAAATGATCGGGGAAAGACAGGTTGAAGAGTTGGTACACTCCCTCTCAGGGTTCGTGTGGTCCCTTGTTTTGAGTCATTTTCGACTTCGTGCCGGGGCTCCAGGGGGCGCTCCTCTCCCCGCACACACTGCTGGCTCTCTCGGGGCGAGTGAAAAGCCAGCCAGTGTTTCTCCATTTCCCACACCATGGGCTTCTCTTCGGAGCCTCACACCAGCTCTGAGGAGCCGGCGGGCGGATCGTTCACCTGCTTTCTTGCTGAGCAAACTGAGCCCAGAAGAGGGTCGGGACAGGCCCAAGTTAACCAGCAAGTAGGAGTCCTGAGCCGTGTGAACCCCCTTAGACTCAGGCAAGAGGAACCTACTCTGGCCCTGTGGGCCCCTCCCCCTGATGGACCATGGTCTACAGGGCCGAGGGGATCTGTCCACCTGGTACCCAAGCCCCTCCTTCTAGCCCACCCTGGGGGCCCTGTCTAGATAGCACCAAGACGCTTCCAGCACCTTCCCTGACTTACATCACAGGCATATGCACCCCAGGACTGAGGACAGGGGTGTGGACCGAGCTTGAGTGGGAGTGGGAGTGGGTTTGGGGAAGGGAAGGGAAGGGAAGGGAAGGGAAGGGAAGGGAAGGGAAGGGAAGGGAAGGGAAGGGAAGGGAAGGGAAGGGAAGGGAAGGGAAGGGAAGCAGGGCCGGTCCCAGCTCAGGGGGCTCTCCCACATAGCCAGGTCCTGGCTCAGGTGCCCGGGGGTCCTGGGATTCTAAACGCGCTCCTGCTTTCCAGGTTATTACAGAGATGTGTTTAACAAGGTAGGAGGACGGAGCATGTTTCATTTAACGGTTTGTTAGCTTGATTTATGGCTTTTAGATAGGAGACATATGGGAAGTGGCCTCTGCGTGTACTCCCTCCCTGGCCGTGCCAATGCCGGGAGGCCTGCCAAGGTCACACCTGCAAAGCTTTGCCTTTTCTGCTGCAAGAACGGACCCGTGCAAAGCTCAGGGAATGCCCAGGCGTGAGGCAATCGGGTGGCGGGACACCCCCCACCCCGACTCTTCCCAGCCATCAGCCAGTGGGGGCAGCCTGGGGAGACGGCTCTCAAGCCATCTCCGCGGCCCCTCGAATTGATGCAGCATTTGAATGAAGGCAAAGTGGGAGCCCTCCAATGTTGCTACCCCTCGAGGTGGGCCAGCCTGGGGTGTAGCCCCCCGCTTTCCAACAGGAGAAGCTGAGGCCCAGAGCAGTTAGGGGGGTTTTCCAAGGCTGCACAGCTTGTGCCTGGGACTTCATCAGTCAGTGCTGCTGTGCCTGCTCTGGCTCATCAAGGCAAGCTTCTCCGTGACACCAGAGGGTAGGCGGCAGCATATTGGCAGCGGAGGCCACCAGCTGTCCTGCAGCCTCCCCTCTGCCAACCCCAAAGAGGCCTCGCTCAGGGAGCAGCCGGACTTTCCCCGAGCTGATCCAAACAGAGCCTGCCCTCCGGCCCCCATCATCACTCCCGCCCTAACGACCAGGCGCAAAATACACACGGCCATGGGCCCGACCGAGCCTCAGCAGGAGCTGAGGGCAGCTCCTCGCCCATGTAGGGTGGCAGCCGCCAGGCAGGGGCTGCCACAGGGGTGGCCCAGGGCGTGGTCTCTGAGATTGTTTCCAAAGTGGAGGCAGGGTGAGTACACAGCGTCCTCTTGTGCATGTCTCTCCCCTCCCTGTCTCTTTCCTCCTTTTCTTGTCTTCTCTTCTCACAAATCCCAGCACTGTCAGGGCCGGGGGTCCATTCGTGGTGGGCACGGTGCTTGGTTCCTGTCCCTCGGTGTCCAAATCACTGTCACGGCTTTGGGACTGTCTCTGACATGATTTCCAAATGTGCCTCTCGGATGGCATCAGGGACAACGCGGGCTCGTACGCATGGTCGTTGCGGGAACTGCCCCAGGGTTGGCTCTCAGCAAAGATGGCCGCCTTCCAGCAGCGCGGGTGCCTGGCCTGCCATTCAAGCATCTCCGTGGTCTGGCCTCAGCTTGCCTTTCCGGCCCCCTTTCCCAGCCTGTCCCCAGCCCTGACCACTCCTGGTTCCCAGCACAGCTCACTCTTCCCGGTCCGTGTCCCTCTTGCTTTTGTGCCCTCAGCTTAGACCACTTCCTACTGCAGCCGGTGAGGACCCAGTGTCCCTCCTCAAAGCTGATCATGCATCTTTTTTTTTTTTTTTTAAATATATTTTATTGATTTTTTACAGAGAGGAAGGGAGAGAGCTAGAGAGCTAGAAACGTCGATGAGAGAGAAACATCGACCAGCTGCCCCTTGCACACCCCCTACTGGGGATGTGCCCGCAGCCAACGTACGTGCCCCTGACCAGAATCGAACCCGGGACCTTTCAGTCCGCAGACTGACGCTCTACCACTGAGCCAAACCGGTTTCGGCTGACCGTGCATCTGACCGGCCCCAGGAGGCCTTCCGGCATGGCCTCCTCTGGGGACAGAGCCTTCCACTTGGCTTTGTGGTGCCACATGGCCCACTGAGCTTGTGGTCCAGCTAGCTATGCTGCTGGGAGGTGACCTCTCTGAGGACCAGGCCCTCTGCCTTACTTGTCTTCTGCACCCTTCGTGGACCTTAGACAGAGTAGGTCCTTTTGTGGGTGTTTGCTAGGGGAGGGAGGCCCCCCAGGGCTGTGATAGACAAGATGCTATTTGACGGAAGTATGGTGGGTCCCTCCAGTCCTGGCACTCTACATGCCATGGATTGGGACACATCATTCCTAGGTGCCTTTCAATTACATTGCTTAATAAACTGACAACTTTTATTTTCTTGACAGTAGGAGGTGAGGCTGAGGGTGAGGGTGAGGGTGAGGGTGAGGGTGGAGCAGGAGCTTGGGCCAGTGAGGAGGCCTGGAACAGCAGCACGAGGCAAGCAGAGACAGGCCCGCGGCACTCTGGCGGGAGGAAGGAGAGACAGGTGTGAGTTCCTCTGCTTCCAGGGTGCGTCCCACCCGCTGTCCCCATGTGACTGGCCCAGCCTGCCCTGCCCCCCTCATCCTTGTGGGCTTCTCCTCCTTCAGAGGGGTCTTCCCTTTGACCCAACATGTATCCGTTTCCTGTCGCTGCTGAAGTGAATTGCCACAAACAAGCGACTTAAAACGAGATAAATCCTTTCAGTCCTGGAGGTCAGGGTCTCGCAGGGCGAAGGCCCGGGTGCAGGTCCGGCTGTGCTCCTCCTCCAGCAAGTAGACACTGTCCAGGTGGCTTGCTTCGCGGCCCCATCTTCATCGTCATCTTCAAAGCTGTCATTGGGCTGAGTCTTTATCCTCAGCCCAGTGTTGCCGCTGGTTCTCTCTCCTGCCTCCCTCTTCCACGCATAAGGATCCTTGGGGTTTTATTGGACCCACCTGGGTAATCCAGGATAATCTCCTTATCTCCAGGTCCGCTCATTAGTTTAACCTTAATTCCCCTTTGCCCTCCCACGCTCACGGGTCGCAGACATCTGTGAGGACGCAGACATCTGTGTTGGGGCTGTTATTCGGCCTACCACGCCCTCTCAGCTGGGACCCCCACCACGCCTCTCCTACCGTGTCCCCTTCTTCCTACTCGTGATCCTAAGCACAAGGGAAGGAATCCCAATTGGTGCGTGACTCCGTCCGTGTGTGCCTTCCCCTCGGGTCTGTGCAGGCCACAGGGTTGCACAGTCCCAGGCTGTGTCTGTTCGCCTCCGTGCCCCAGCACCTGGCTGAGTGCCCGGCCCAGTAGAAATAAGAAGGAGGGCTTTGGGTGGGGCTGTAGCCAGAGCTCAGCCCAATGCTGGTGCAGCAGCGAGGGTGCTGGGCTGCGGCCTGGTGAAACGGAGGCTGGGTGATCGGGAGCATGGGCTCTGCCTGGCTCTGAGTCACCGCCTGCTCCTCCCTGGCTGTGTGACGTGGGCACATTCTATAACTTTTCTGTGTCCTAGTTTCCTCCTCATTGATGAAATGGAGCGATGGTCATAAGAGCGAGCATGCAGCTGAAACCGGTTTGGCTCCGAGGATAAAGCGTCGGCCTGAGGACTGAAGGGTCTCAGGTTCGATTCCCACCAAGGTCATGTACCTTGGTTGCGGGCACACCTCCAGTAGGGGGTGTGCAAGAGGCAGCTGATCAATGATTCTCTCTCATTGATGTTTCTCTCTGTCCCTCTCTCTTCCTCTCTGTAAAAAATCAATTAAAAAAAAAAAGAGTGAGCATGCAGTGATGTAATAATCTGTAAGAAGCCTTAGAACTCTGCCTGGCACACATGAAGTGCCATGTAGGTGTTCCTTATAATGATGCTGCTGACTGTGTATATCGGAGATTGAGCTGGGTGTAGTGGTGAGAAG